TCTGGCCTTCTTGGACTGTGCTGTGCACACAGAAGAAGACAGGAGCCTGGACATAAAGATCTACAGAAAACCCACCCACACAGAACAATATTTGCTATTTGACTCCCACCACCCACTGGAACACAAACTGGGAGTAATGAGAACCTTACAACACCAGGCCCAGAACATGTCTGCCAGGACAGCAGGAAAGGAGGAGGAACAGAAGCACATCAAGACAGCACTCAAAACCTGTGGCTACCCAAGCTGGTCTTTCATCAAGTCCTCTACAAAACCAGGAGGAGACAGAGAAGAAAAGACCAAGAAATGAAACAACATAGTCATCCCCTATGTTGCAGGAGTTTCTGAGAAGCTCAGGAGGATTTTCAACAAACACAACATTCTGGTACACTTCAAACCCAGCAACACCCTGAGACAGAAACTGGTCCACCCCAAGGACAAGACACCGAGACACAAGCAAAGCAACGTGGTGGACGCAGTCCAGTGCAGCGAGGAAGCCATGACCTGGGCATCGGGGAGACTAAACAACTGCTCCAGAAGCACAGGGCTCAGCATAGAAGAGCAGCTCCTCAGGACAGAACTCAGCAGTCCACCTGCATCTCAAGGACAAAGAACACTCATTCAAAGACAACAATGTACAGATTTTGTCCTGCAGGGAGGACAGATGGTTTGAGAGAGGAGTGAAAGAGGCCATCTCACTGGAAAGACCATCCCTCAACGGAGGTGGAGGTCTGAGGCATCACCTCTCACTTCAATTCAGTCCTCTCTCCCCATGAAGATGAAACCGCATTCACACCGAGCAACAAAAGACCCTAACGAGTCCCTTTGTGGCAGGGGGAGCACCAACGACTCACATAATGAGGGGGAGGAGCAACTACTGCCAGTTAAAACCGAAACTCAGGTGTTAATGGCTCTTCAAGAATATCAGTATGTGGAACTCCCAACTAGTCAGTCAGAGCTGATGAAGCCTCTTGGATGAGAGGTGGAACGTCTTCAAGGAACTCAAGAAGGTCCAGTTGCTACGATTAATCTACCAGAACGACTGTGACCTGGATGACTGAGAATCTTTACAGACAAGAAATCCTAATGCTTTTCATAGAGGACTGATTTAAATGCACACACCTTATGTGCTTTTCTTGCTTCCTAACAAATCCAAGTAAATCTGGGTATCAAATGAAACCTCTGTCAGACTGAACTGTCTCCCAATCCTGATTTATTGTGTCCTTGTGGAGCAAAGCGTAATCTGGACTCTTTCCGGCAGCCGCAGCTGGAT